ATAGGGAGAGGAAGAGAAGGAGAGAGGATAGGGAGAGGAAGAGTAGGAGTAGAAAGGGAAGAAGGAAGGGAAAGGAGAGGAGGAAGGAGGAAAGCAGAGAAGGGATGGAGGGAGAAAAGAAAGGGAAAATACGGTGGTGTTACAACAGGAAGAAGGGATGGTAAACAAAGCAACCCAAACTGTATTTATAACCTATAAAATGGAATAACAAATGTATAAGAATGATAAATATAAAGAAGAAAAATAATTATGTGAATGTATACTTAAAATGGTATATAAGAGAATAAAAAAAGATAAAAATGTTCTGGCAAAAATAAATAGAGAGAGAGAGCGAGAATTGGGGTTGGAGAGCATAAAATGTTTTTTTTTTAAATGGAAAAATCTCATCCCTTGGATGCTTGTCCCTCTGAAGCTTCAGCAAACAGGAAACTTAATGTATAACTTGGGGTGCAGAATTCAATGGCTCTGGCACTACTGATTTTGGCGGCCCTCCAAGAAGCTAAAATTTTCCCCATGTTAGCCCCTTACTTTAAGACTTTATGGCTGGCCAGTTGTTATCGTCAGAGAGGAATCGTAGATTTAAAATTTACACAAATTAGGGTTCTCGGAAGGTCGCAAAAGGGGATCGCGTTGACCTCGGGACACTGCGACGGTCATAAAGAGGAACCAGCCCCCAAGCATCCAAATGTAAATCCTGTGATCATGGGGATGATGCAATGGTCCCAAGGGTGGAAAATGGTCACTTTTTTTCATTGCTATTGTAATGTTGAACAGTCACAAAGTGGACTGTTGTAAGTTGAGGACTACCTGTATTTTATGAGCAAATTGGCCAAGCTTAGAAAGCAGTTAAGAGAAGGTGGGAAAGAGATGTCAGCCCTCTGCAGAAAACTTACGGCTGGAAACTATGAATTAACACTTTGAATGCAGGGGAAGGGGGAGAGACTGCAAGGAGGAAAGACCAAAGGACACCTTTCTGAAAAGCTCTCCATGACTCTAGAGTCCTAGAATCATAGGGCTGGAAGAGACCCTCAGAGGTCTTCTAGTCCAACCGCCTGCTCAAGGCAGGAGACTTATACCATCCCAGCCAAATAGTTATCCATTCTCTTTTTGAAAACCTCCAGTGATGGAGTGTTTTTTCTGGTGAGACCAGTCAATCAAGGCAGCCTGGTCTACCCAAATATGGGACGGAGCATAGTGCTTCCGTAATTAGCCCAGGTTCGAATCCCAGAAGGGTATGGATAGGTGAAAAAAGCTAAATAGCTTCAAATAGATCTATACTAGCCTCCCTTCATTTCTTTGTCAGTAAATATAAATTCAACACAAACCCCACAGTGATGGAGCATTCATAACCCCAGGAGGCAAGCTATTCCATTAATTGCTCCCACTGTCAGAATGTTTCTCCTTACATCTAGGCCTAGACTTGACATCCTCAACCAATTAACATCTTTGGGACTATTCCAATCAGTGGTGGGTTTCAAAAACGTTTGGAACCTACTCTGTGGGTGTGGCCTCCTTTGTGGGAGTGGCTTGCCGGCCATGTGTTTTCTCTCTCTCTCTCTCTCTTTCCTTCCTTTTGTCTCTCTGTCCCTTTTTTCTTTTTTTCTTTCATCTCTCTCTTTTTCTTTCTTTCTTTTCTTTCTTTCTTTCTCTCTCTCTCTCTCTCTTTGTCAGTCTGTGTGTGTGTGTGTGTGTGTGTGTGTGTGTGTGTGTGTGTCAGTGGTGGGTTTCAAAAAATTTTGTAAC